AGAAGTTAATTAAATGCTCTTTTCAGTAGCACTTAACCGCGTGCAAACCAAATGCAGTTACACTTTTCGATAATTACACCGCGTCCCGACCAATTTGTCATTCACCCGCGTTATTTGCGCCCGGACCTCAGATATTCCGTTTATTAAATGTCGCAACAACTGTATCTCTCGCGAGGCTATATTCTGCCCGACGAATGTCGTTTCGCCTATTTTTTCCCCGCCTTCTCTCTCTTTTTTTCACGCCAATTTCCGCGCCAATCTCCAAACACGTCAGTTTCGCTAAATTGCATCGGACCGTGGGGCGCGTACAGCTCCACTCCGGGACGTATAATGACGCGTGAAGTTTATTAGAGCATAAGCAACGCCGTACCGTTCGATACGTTCGCATTAGAAATGAAATCGTAGCGGAACCGCTGGAAAAATTCGCGAAGGGCGCACCCCAATCGATTCGCGATTCGCGAAATCTCGGACGCGAAATGTACGAAATGATAAAACGCGCAATGGCTGAATTTCAGGCGCTCCGATACATTTTCGACGAGCGACATGCGCTACGACGCGATTTATTCCCCTTTAGAGACTCTAATTAAAGTACGACAAAGGCGAGTGTCGTCGTCGACGTATCGACTGTCCGCGTCCGGTATTTATACGCTTCCCGATCAAACGGGAAGACTCGTCGACTCGAGCAGAAAGAGATCGAGCGAAACGAGCGCGATAAATCCCGCTAAATCATAGCGGTGCGTTCGTTGAATATGGATTCGCGCACCATCGACCCTAGGCGTATCTAATACCGCTGTAATTAACCGCTCTCAGCCCTACCGATGAGTTCCACTTGTGTGTGTGTGTGTATTGATTAGACTCTTAATTCCGTTAATGAAGCGCAAGCGGCATCGCGGCCGACGTTAATCCATTAGCGCGATACCTCACGAAGCGGCTGCTTTACTTCGACAATGGCGAAACCGCGCGGCGCCGCAAGTTAAATTCCAAGTTGCCGGGGCGATCTTAGCTTCGCCGTGCTGCAAGCGAGTCGTCTCTAGCCGTGCGGCTAATTAATCCGAAGTTAATGGACGCCCATCCCGGAGGCGCCTCCCGTCTCGCCCCCCCCCCCCCCCCC